ACGGTGTACCAGAAGACATTGTCAGCGACCGCGACACTCGTTTCATGTCGGCGTTTTGGACTGCTCTCATGCAGGAGTCCGGCACAACAATGAAAACAAGTTCGGCTCGACACCCTCAGACAGACGGGCAGACGGAGCGGGCACATCAGACCGCTCAAATGATGCTTCGTACGCTCATCCGTCCGGACCAGAAAGATTGGGTTGACCGCCTCCCCGATATCGAGTTCGCCTACAACACTTCGGTGCATCCGGCGATCGGCGTGACTCCATTCGAGTTGCACCACGGTGGACGGAAAGGCCGGATCTTCGCCGACCTTCTCCTCCCTCGACCAACCGACACTGACGCTGCCTTCTCTCCCGCTTCCGTCCGGAAGTACAGGGAATTGTTGACTCAAGCCCGCGCAAACATGCAAAAGGCTCAAGTCCGCATGCAGCAGCAAGCCAATAGGCGTCGCGTACCATGTCCCATCCGCGTCGGTGATCTGGTTTGGGTCTCCGCGGAAGAGTTTGCACTGGAACAGGATGTTTCATGCAAACTGCTTCCCAAGTGGTTTGGACCTTGGTCTGTGACAGCAGCCGCGGGCGATGAGCCCGATGRCCCTTCATTTGTGATCAACATTCCAGAGCATCTGACGGTCCATCCGGTCTTCCACGCCTCGAAGCTGGCAACATACACGCCAGCCAAGAGCGACGACTTTCCGGGCCGACGACCGCAGGACCCTCCCTCTATGGATGTTCATCAGGAAGTTGACCGCGTCATCTCCGATCGCAAGGACGGCAGCAAGCCGCGGGAGTACAAAGTCACATTCAAAGCATGCGATCGCGACGACACTCGGTGGATTTCAGGCGCAGATTTGAAAGCATCCGCACCACTGATCTACGCACATTATGAAAAGCGGAGGTTAGCTCAGGAAGCTTCACGACCAGCCCCTCCCACCCGGACTGTGGTCCCTCCCTCAGACAGACCGCTTCGCCCTCGCAGGTAAGCTCGGTTCTTCAAGGAGGGAGGGGTGTGGCATACTGCATAGCCACACGGGCCCTGCAGGGCCCGTCCCGGACATTCAGCCTACAAGCCTAAAACTTAGGGCTTACAGGCCCCGATCGTTTCAGCCTGAAAGCTGAAAAACGAGGGCCTGCAGGCCCCGGTCGTTTCAGCCTTAAAGCTGAAAAACGAGGGCCTGCAGGCCCTACTCCGTTTCAGCCTATTTCTGGGTCTTTCAGACCCAAAGTTTTTCCAGGCTGAAACGGAGGGCCATTTTCAGGCCCTCGTTGTTTCGACCTGCCCCTAAGACTCAGGCACGTAAACAGGGATGCGGAACAGGCCAGAAATAGCCTGTTCCTCACGAGCTCGAGCAGGAGCTGCAGCTGCAGCCCCTGCCTCCTTTCGGCATTGGCAAGAGCAGCCTCCTGAACTGCTCGCACGGCTCAGGAGGCACACCCGTGGTAGTACATAGGACTTCCCAGGCACTTCACGGGTAGGTAGTTTCAGTAGGCACCGGTAGTCTTCAGTATTCGGCCGCAACACTCAGGAGGAGCGCTGCAGTAGTCTTCAACGCTAGGCAGTAGTAGTAGCGCTAGTTGTAGTCTTCGGCGCTGGGCGCCCATAGCCATAGAGTAGTCTTCTGCACTGGGCGCTGGTAGGTGGTAGATCGTAGAGTGGGAGAGATACTGGCGGAGGCCAGTGGTACTTACCTGTGGCGCCATCGCTCCAACTCCATCTTCGTGGTACCTGCATCAAGGCGCCAACTTCACAGGTTAGTACTGGACACACAGAGAGAGAGAGTTTTTTTTCTTCCTCTTCTAAGTCGACCATCTCCTTCTTCGTCTGTGTATGGTTGGGGCTGCCGCAGTCTTCTTGTGTGAAGCGCCAGACCCCCTTCACACCAGATAACGATGATGATGATGTGTGTTCAGGGCTGCATTGCAATATTGATTGTTCGGATCATTCGTATCTAAGTCTTCCGCTGTGTTATCTTGTACTTTGTATTGAGAGGTCGGTTCTTGTTCTGGTCTGCACGTTACAGTATGCAACAGGCTGGGTCAACTTATAGTGTTGACTCGCGTTGACCAGCCTCTGTGTCTCCTAGGTACTACTACCCCTGTCTCTTATACACATCTAGATGTGTATAAGAGACAGGGGTCAACTTATAGTGTTGACTCGCGTGACCAGCCACTGGTCTTCTAGGTATGACGGGCCGAGTGGGTGAAGGGCCGAAGAAGAGCCATCTTCTACCATGCAAGCTGGAGGGTTGAAAGGTGTTTGTGGCACCACACCTTTATCTAAACCTTTCAGCTTAGTAGGAGCAAATGCTACTCCTATTGGCTACTCCCTTTTGTGTTTCGGATCAAGGGACATCATGCGATAATATGTCCCTCAGTGCCCCATTTCAAGCACTGCCGGTTATCCATTTATTCTTGCCATGCCTTCTCAGTCGTGCCCGTTTTTTTCCAAGGTCAGCCAGAAGCAAAGCCAGGATGCTCACGAAAGGAGTGTGGCCTCTTCTTCTTAAATCCGCCATTTCTTGTGCCACCCTCATTGGCCACCACGACAATAACGTCACCGTTTCCTAAATCACCACCATTGCTGGTCTCACCCTCGATTTCCTCGAGGGGTCATCTTTCCATGGTCTCATTGTAAAAAAGGACAAGAGTGTGGTCCTGTTGTTTCTGCCTCCACAAAACCCGTTTCCCATTCCCAACCCCACTCGATTGCCCACCCCTTACAACGCTTGAATACGTCCTTTTTCCCTGTGCAGTCATCTGCTCTCGATGTAGAGCAAGGTCTCGGAATCGCCGATAGTTGTACTTCCTAGAGTTGGCTGCTGCCACAAGTTGTCCACGTATTGGTTTTGTATGTGCGCGCGAGTAGATGTATAGTACCTGGTTGTCCTGTAAGCTCAGTCCAGGTACCTACAGGAGACGGTCAACCTCACACGACAGGGTCTCAACACTAGACCAATGGTAATGAGCTCGTTGAAGGCCTTGTCGATCGTTGTCTTGTCCAGGAATCTCTCCTTGATTTGATGGATTAACTCTCGAAGCGCGATTGTTTTAACCCACTCACCGATGTCTTCAAAGCCAGCAGCGTTGGCCTCACATAGGACCTAGTCCTTCGCTACTTCTGCAAGACGAGAAGTGGAGAAGGCTACTTAGTTGTCTTCAGCTACAGAACTTGTCAAGAAATAAGTCTGTATTTTGGCAATCCACAACAAGAGATGCTCTCCCTTCTTTCCATTGTAGGTGAACGACAATTTCATCTTTACTTTTTCCTTCCTTTTCGGCTTCTCCCCTGCTGCTTCTTTCTTTGTGGGTTCCTTTTTGGGAGATTTCGATTCTTTGGGGATTTCATGGCGTCCTTCATCAATTTATTTTGTTCTTTCTTTCTTTTCCTCTTTTCCCCTTCTTGCACCACCATGTTCTTTCCTTTCACTAATCTCACCGTATGAAGTTTTGCGGTGACGTGGTCAATCTTGATTTCCAGGTGTGCAAGATAGGCCATCATGTTCTGCATGACGGACGCCAAATCTTGATTTCCAGGTGTGCAAGATAGGCCATCATGTTCTGCATGACGGACGCCAAATCAGTTTCCGAACCAATGTCAATTCTCTGTTTTATTTCTTCGATTTTCGTTGTTTGTTGCTCTTGCTCTTTCCGCTCTCTGACAGGCTTCCTTCTTCTTAATCTTTGCCTCCAACACATCTTGCAGTTGCTTTATGGTGCTATCCATGATTTATTCACTCAATTCTGGTTCTTCTTTCTTTTCACTCGGTTCCCCCTTCCCTTCCGCCTTAATTTCGTGACTGGCTTTCTTTGCAAACTGCTCGGCGATAAAATGGTCGAGGCTCATTCCAGCCCGATCAATAATCTGTTGCATGTGTCTGCTGGTTTCCAGCATTTGAACAACAGTTTTAACCTTCGATAGTTCATCCTCTGCGGCACGCAGATCGGACGCGCTGCGTACATGCTGCTCGGCTTCTCATCCAACGTTTTGCATTTCCCTGAGCAGTTGGCAATGACGGTCCAACATCTGCTGCCGTTTGTCCTCAATTTGCCCTCGGGTTTTATCACTTCTTCTTCTTGATCAGCGACGAAGGTGAGAGAGATGGGAAAGAAGAGGAGTGGAATGAACCTAGTCAGGACGGATGCACGCAAGCAATTCCAGAGGTAAGCCATGTTTGCAAGTAAGGACGCCGCACAATGAACTTATAAAGACAGTTATAGATTCCATGGCCTCATCACAAACAAATTTCAGTAATACAACAAGGAAATAAAAAATAAAGAATTAAATATAGGATCGGAATTTTCCAACATTTCTATATCTATTTTCTGCTGGTTTTTTGTTTGATAATGTTTACTGTAAGGACTATGCTGGTAATGCAGCCATGGCTAGTGAGATCAAGACAACACAACAATGGTGAGTCTGTGACCATCCACAAGCCAGCCCACAAGAGGTAAGTACACGAAATCAATCAGCAACACATCCAATCAATCAAGTGTTAGCTGTTCTCCTTCGCTGTCTTCTTGCAAATAGATGTGTGACCAAACACATGCCTTGGCGCGTGGCACTACAGCATATTCTAGTGTTGTACCGCCCGCCAGGTCACGCACGTGCAAGGATCCGTCCACACCATTCTCTCTTTCGGCTTGGTAGCTTGTCACGACAGCACTACCACGTGTTCCACTCCAATAAAGCCTCGGTGACACGTCAACAAGACTTGTGCCACGTCAACGTCAATGGCCTACTAGGCCACCTCAGTGATGGAGTACTACTCAAAGCACATGAGGAGTGGAATGCCGCTCAAAACCGTATCTGCTCACTGAATTGCCATTTGGGAGAAGTGTCGCGTCAACTTGTATCTCCCGCTGCTGCTCCACGAAGGTGCCGCGTCACTAAAGGTAAGTCGCGACACTATGGAGAATGATACATCATCCAATACCTCGCTGTTAGGAGGGTGCCACGTCAACACCTCTGTGCGCTGCCACCTCAAAGGGGAGGGCGCCACGTTAGCACGAACACCTCCAGAGGACGAGCCCGCCAAGTCAGCAGGCCACTTCCTCCATCCACATCAGCGGGCCTGCCCGCCGGTGAGTTGTCAAGCAGCGATGAGTATCGACGATGCCACTCTTCTCCTCCAGGGCCGGCTCATCAAGTCCACGTCATCATCATCATCATCATCATCATCATCATCATCATCATCATCATGCGAAATGTCTCGATTAGCAGATAGCGAGTAAGGAAGATATCACTCCGATACCAAATTGCAATGAACCCAGTCAGACAAGAAGCTCGTGACTGTCGAAATGCAAATCTGGGACAGCGTAGCGTCAATATCTCCAAAATTCGTTTATGAATCCATGCTCGCCATACATGTAGCCTCCCGATGTTCTGAACTTGGAGAAGAGAATGAGGGAGGTGGGGGAAGTGACAGAGAGGAGGAGGAGGAGTTTCCACATGAATCGACGAAGCAGAAAACCCCTCTCAAGCCCCCTTCCTCGTCGGGCGTTCCCCTCACACTCGCCACATCAGCAATACAGTTCTCCCCTGACGATCTCTAACACATACAACGAACAGGTCACAGCAGGGCACCCATCCTCCAGCCACATCCGCAGCAGCCAAGGAGGATGGCGCAGATCTTCCTCTTGGAGACGAACAGCAAAGTACACGCATCATCACAGGTACGTCCAGGTAAGCTTCTCCTCCTCACTAATACCAATCTCACTGTCCAGCTCCTCCTCCTCCTCGCCCACACTCCTCTCAATGTTGAATCAATGTGGCTATGGCCACGCCACACTCACTATCTGGCACCACCATAAAGCTCCAGCAGCCTTGCGTCGTCGCACTAGCGTGAAGACAGCGTCGAGCGGAATGCAGACGACTGAATGATCTCCAAGCAGTGGCTGGGTCAACTTATAGTGTTGACTCGCGTTGACCAGCCTCTGTGTCTCCTAGGTACTACTACCCAGATCAATCGGCAGCCAGTGGCCTGGATGTCGCACAGTTGCAGATTTCCAACGTGTCCCACTGGGACCGGATTC